GGATTGGGAGACCAGAGAGATTTGGAATATTGGTTATTTTTGCTGTAAGATTTGAAAAACAGATATATAATTAAATCATATACTTGTGGGAAATTATTGAAATGGAACTAAACCCATATTAGGAACTGGGGCTTGATGAAGGTTGCAAATGGACACTAAAGGGAACTAAAGGACCAGGCAGAAAAGAATTAAAATGGCTAAACCGGCTATAACTTTTTCTTATCTTAAAGAGTTTCTTGATAATTGGACTGAGATACTAATAACTAATATCTCAGAAAGGATAGATTTTAATGGATAAATTTTTAGAAGGTGATGAGAAAAACTTTTAAAAACTTTTACCTGAACATAGAGATAGAGTTTGAAGGCATGGAAGACAACAAAATTGAGATTACCAAAATGGGAATACAAAAGACAAATCAAGAAAAGGATCTGGACAGGGAACAGCTGCAACAAGAAATCCTGGATGATGCCTCTTTATGGGATTTACAAAGTAAGCTGATGAAAACTTTGAAATCTCCTCTTGAATGCCAAAGATTGATGAAAGATCAAATCCTGCAATGCCATTGGAATAATTTAAAGATTAAGATTGTGAAGAGCAAAAAGAAGGAATATGAAGTTGAACTATTTGATCAGGGATAAACTGTTTGATATTTCTAGTAACTCCTAATGGACTTTTTGCTGAACCAGGACTGAAAAAAATGATGATTTCTGGATTGCATATAAATAAAAGTTAGGCTATGAGAAGAGGGGTTTTTTTTATTTGTAACTTTAAAAGAGGGTGAAAATTTATTGTATTAGCTTATGCTTGGTGTGATGAAAGTAGGAAGCCACTTTATTGTCTCTGTTGCCTTTTTCTTTCTTTTCTCTTCAACTTTTTTCTTTTCCTTTTGTTTTTCTTTTTTCTGCACCTTCTGAACTTTTATTTTACTTTTTTCTTCTAGTTTAGTTTGTATTAGTTTTTACTATGTTTATTAAAAAGTTCAATAAAATTATTTTTTAAAAAATATTAACTGTTCATTTTGACATTTTTATTATTTAAAGTTAATCTGCAAATGCTGTTAGATGAATGATGTATGGAAAGACAGTATCAGGGTTGTATTTTTATGACACACGAAATCCAGATTCACACAATCTGTGAGTCCCAGTCTTCAGAAGAGGAAGCAAGGGGAGTTGAGCATAAGTCTTACAATTTGTACAGCAGGTGCAATAATAGATGTCTTGATGTTTAAGTTGTCATGAGATTCTTTGTTATTAACAAGTAACAAAAGGAGAATGAAGGAGTTGTGTATCATGCCTTCAGCTCATCCTAAGAAGCTAACTTTCACTGTGCAGTTAGTGGTAGGTGTGCAAGTGACTTGTAAAACCCAATTTGTAATTTTGTGGATGGTCCATAAAATAAGAGAAGCAGTTATTACCAGTTCTCTCTTTATCGCTTTTTCCTTAGGTGGCATTGAACAATATGTTTGGATACGCTACAGAACTACGGTCATGTACAGAGGTAAGTGAGCAGATTCTATCCAAGTTTGTTAAAGCAATATTGTAATCTTCCAGCATTCATCATTATCTCATTCATATCATCATTTCTACTATAAGACACACCATTTTTTTCAGTTTTGGTATAGATGCAGCTTCTGAAAACGAGTGATTAAACTTGCTTAAAGTCACAAAGTAGGAAGAGAGATCCAGAGAGGAAAGGGAACCCAAATAAGTATCTAGAAAGGAACATAGCAAAAGAAAAAAAGGAATATCTAGGAAATGAGATTGAGTAATTTAGAGCAGAGACGATGAATCTTTAGCCCAGGTCCTAGCCACCTGAGATTTTCATCTGGTCTGCTAAGCAAACCCATTCAACTAACAGGGCTTCACATTCCTGCTACTGTTAGCCACTCGAAGCATATTTTTCCTCTGCCTCTTCAAGGGAGAGATATGGACATGGGCAATATGGACAGCACAAACAGATATGGACAGCACAAACAGATCTTCTTGCACGCATGCAGAATCTCTGTCTTTACCCACACCTACCTTTCCCCTTTGGGCTGATTCCTAGTCAAGAATAGTATGTGCGAGTTGGACAGCTCTGATTGGTTCATTTAAAACATAGCTATCTATGCCAAATGAACCACTGGGATAAGTAAATGACTGGATTCTGCCTTTGGAACAAATCTTTTTTGTCATCCTTGGGTAAGAGGAATGAGGAGAAGAGAAAATGTAGGGAGGGGGGTGCAGAAACAAAGATGTGAATGTAGGAAGGTTGGGAGCTGCAAAAAGATAGTGATTTAAAAATCTACCCATTTAACTCTAGGATGAAAATATATGTATTTCAAATAATGGTAATGCCTTTTAGAATTGTAAGCTCAGGTGCCAGTCCAGTTATCAGCTACTACTATGTCAACTGTAGTAAATTTCTCTTCCACCATATGATACATTAAAGCTAGCACTTTACAATCTAGTAATTGAGAAATTGTTTACATTATTCATAATATGAGGATATTTTCTCTTCAGGGAAAAGGAGAATACACAATGGAATACAGAAAATACCAACCCTGTTCACTCAATACACAGGAAGAATTAATTAACCAATACCTTGAAGCAACAGGGCAACTTCCTGGGAAAAAGGGCAAGGTCAAAGGTTAATGCACCTTCCAAAGGTTGGCAAGAAACTGCCAACAAGCTGTATTTGTTGCAAGACTCTTACGATTGAACAAGTGAAGAAAATTCAGAGCAATTTCATCCTGGATCAAAGCTTTGACTTTATTAAGTCATGAAAAGACTGCACAGAAATTCCATGAATGAATCACCATCTTAATTTATATTAAAATGTTTTGTTTAGAGGCTTGATATTAATTAAGCTGACAATGTTCTTTTTCCCCTTCTGTCTCCTTCCACCCCACTCTCTGCATACCTCCTTGCCATTTTTGAAGCTTTCCCTTACTTATTCAAAGAATCAAATGCAGGAGAAGCAACAGATCTCCACCTGAGTTTTTGAATAATTGCTACCACATCTGAGCTAGAAGAATAAATAACCTCACCCAGTGCTTGTACTATACAAGGCAGACCTGTAGTATAACATGAACATTTGAGGAATAAATAGTAATTTATAGGTTTCTAATGATAAGTGAAGATAGATTGTGGGGCAGAGTGATTTTTTCCCTTTCCCTTCTTCTAGAAATTGTGCAGCAAAGAATATCTTTAATATTATTGACCTTAACTTCTCCACACCTTGGAATTCATTTCCAGTAAGAATCCCACATATTTTGATGCCTGTGAAAATTTGAGAAATGGTTCTAAAGAGCCCAACACATCAGCTACTAACTGAAATGAGTTCAAGGCAGAGAAGAGGTCTTTTGTTTCAGTTGCCAGATATTGGATATTATTAAAATGCCCATTGCCTATAAGGAAATGTGTCTGATCTCTCAGAGAAACACCCACCCAAAAATGCAGCCTAATTGAACAAAGGGAATGTTGTCCCTCCCCAATACCTTCTATATTAGGACAGCCATGCAATATCTACATCTACCTGTGTATTAAATTACTGGGAATGACTTTAGATGCCTGCAGGGCCATCTAAATAAAACTAAGTGCACAGAATGATGTTTTATTTGTCTCTTTCAAACTCTTAACTGTCCTAATGTAATGGCAAGGAGAATGAATCACTTTGGCTTTCTCATGAAGTATCTTGTATCCCGGTGGCCACAAGGAGATGTCCATGTCATTTTCCTGGTACTAGTAGAGAAGTGGTTTGCCAGCACTATCTTCTAGGGTGTGTTTTCAGTTGCACCATAATCCCTGTGATCCATACACATCATTTATGGATCTGCACATAGTCCTGGGTGATGGGAACCCCATCTCATACCTGCTACATGAACTAGGTACAGTTCTGGATTTTTATTTTTACCACTGTAGCAGTATATTTTGGTTTTGAGCTGATTGCTCCTGCCTTATTGAATTATTTTTCCCTTTTTAATTTAATTTTCCTCATTCTCTTAGCTGTTGAAAATGAAACAAATCTGTTTTTCAAAATGAAGTGAATAGGATTGTCTAGGGTATGAATCTGGACATCTGTGGGTTAGAGCCACAATCTTCCTAGCTCCTTTGGGTGGTCATGCATTGTGTGTGCCTGGATCAAGGAAACGGTCAACATTTCTTTGAGGGGATAATACTGCTTGCCTGTATGGAAGAAAGGAGTAGTACATTCTTTCTTTAAAAACCCTCTCTGGATCCAGCTGTTTTTGACAACTTTCACCCTGTTTCTGGGGAAGATTGTTGAGAAGATGCTAGGTATCCAGCTATAGACAAATGTAGAAAAAATGGATTCTTTGTATCCCTGACATTGTTTAGATCTGTTAATGGTAGGGAAATGGCACTGGTTGCTTTGGTGGTTTACTGCCTACATCTAGATGTGAGGAGTATTTGATACATCGACCATGATACCTTGCAAAGACTGGGAGTCAGGGGCAGTGTTCTGCTTCTACCCAAGAGTGTGGCTCCATCAGTAATCAAGGGAGAGCAGTGGTCAAGTGTCTGTTTGTTCCAGGGGGAGGGGTATGTGTGCACAGGGCTTCATGATTTCCCCCTATGTTATTTAATATCTATATGGAACCACTGGGAGAGAACCAGAGAAGCAAGACAGGCCCCTCATGGGGGCTCTTCTGTTCACAAATAGCCAATGGGCAAGCAGTTAAAAAAAATCAAACTGGTACCATCCATGTAAGTAGGTGTACACATTAGATTGACTGCCTGGATTAATTAATTAATTGCATGCTAAATTTTGCATTTAAAGACTAACTTGTACATTTCAATTTGAAAATCCTAGTGTCGTGATTTTTGGCTCTATGGACAAGCAAGTATGAAATGGTGCAAAACATGGAAAAAGACTTTGATGTTGCCTTCTGGTAACAGGTCATAGTACTTCACTCTATGGGGTTTTTTTCCCTTTGTTTACTCTGCCTTCTCACCATAACCCACAAAAATAAATTCTATGGAAATTAAGGTATTAAAATCAGGTATTGGCATATCCCCATTGCAATTAAGGGGATGAGTTAGGTTGCTTTCAGTCCATGTACGAATACAATTTCTGCAATTAGCGATTAAGTAGGTGGCTTTTAAAAATGACCAGCCTCAGACCTGAGGATTGACATTCTAAGGTGTGTGTTTAAATGGGGCTCTACACCCTTGGTTCCAATGGAGCTGAGGCCCTGCGTGGCTGCAGTTTGTATCTGAAGCAAGTGCCCATTTGTAATCACAGATGCTTCACTTGTCATGCAAGTAGGTGCAGAAGATTGGAGCTGGACTGTGGGACCACAGCAGAGGAGGAGAGCATTAAAACTCCCTACTGCTTATACAAAGATTCAGATGTTATTTGTGTTTCCAAAAAAACCAATTGACACTGACATTTTATTTATTAGTTTTTTTCCATCTTCTAGATAAGGCACTCAGCTCTGCAAAATTTACTCCTAGGTTCTTTTTCCAGTATTTTTAAAAATAATTTTGGTGAAGAATTTATGGTAAATTTTAGTCTAATTTCCCTAAAATTAAATACTTATAAGGCTGCCGGCAGAGGCTTATTTTTTTGGAGAAATGGACTCATTTGTCTCAGAAAAACCTGAAGTCATCAAACTTCATTTTCCACCCTGTTTAACATCCTTACATAAAGCATAGAAAGAAAATTTTGAAACAGCTCAATTGGGACAACATGAGATGACACAGACAAAATGTACCATTGTCCTTTTATTGAAGATAAGTTAAATCTCAACATCAAATATTTTCCAGAATTTAAAAATATTTTATCAAATATTTTAAATGGCAGTTTAAAATTTTTTAAAAATCTTTGTTCATATATATTTTAAAAAAGCCTTATGATGAGTTACACCTAATGCCAGAAACTTAGCGACACATCAGTAGTTTTTCCATATAATAAAAATATCTGTAAAAATGTATACTTATTCTTCTATGAAATTAACCAGAAAAGAAATATTTATGATCGATCAGAAGTGATTTGTGCAAAGCTTCCAAACAGATTGTATTGATTTAAATAGATGATTCTCTATACTGAATTTGGAATATTGACAAAAGGTGTGCTACACCTTTGTAAAAATGTTTACAACTATATAAACAAAAGGATTTTCTCTCTTTACTTAAAAATTACTTTCAGTGAAAAATTCAGCAGAAGTACCAGAGAAATCCCCAGAGCCATCAGAGGATTCTACAGATGTATCTTCTGAAGTGCAGTCATACTTCACTTTTATTGGCAGTTCCAGGTTCCAGGTAATGCGCATATGACAGGAAAGAGTCTGCGAAAATCCCTGTATGTAAAAATAATCAGTGACAGGAATAAATCTACTTGGGGGAAATCATCTGATTCCAATAGCACTTCAGAGTGTATGCGTATAGGCTGCAATCCTAAACTTACTTTCTTGGGAAAGAATCTTACTGCATTTAGCAGGATTTACTTTGGAATAAATGTGTAGAATTGTCTAGTAAAATATTTTTTATACATTCCTCCACTGATCCTAATGTCTTTACAAAATAGATTGGGATGATTATTATGGGGTCAATCGGCTCAATTCACCTAAGGAACTGATATTGCTACAAAGGCTCATTTATTTTATAAAAGTGAAACTATCTTGAGTACTGAAGTTTCCATACCTCTGAGACGTCACTATCAATCAAAACGGTGTAGTCAAATTCAAGTGCGTTGTCACTTTCCTGGGCAGGAAGGAAAAAAAAGGTTGGAATGAAGAAGGCTGGAGAAGATAAGAATTGTATTTCAAACAGCATCTTGTTTGCATTCAGGTACAGTGTGCATGCCAAGATCGATATTGGGTTGTGTGTGCAGAATGGTTTATGCCCTTTGGACATTTCCTGACATTTCAGTAAAACCATCTTTCTTTACAGTGGTCCATACCGCTGAAGTTGGGCTCTAGAAGTTCTGCCCACCTGAACCCTGAAACATTTTGATTTTTCCAGTTTTTGGCCAGAACAAAATCCAGAGTGTCTTATGGAGCAAGTAAGGCAGGATTGATGCACCACCTTCATCTTCCCTCTTTTTCCACATGGTCTGTGAGCTTGCACCACCATCATCATTGGCCCCTTTCTTTCCCTGCCTCTCCTTATGTTGTGCTTCAAGCTAAAATTATTGGCAGCTAAGGAAGGCCACCCTGGGGAGTTTGGGGAGCAGGGAAACAGGTGGGTGAATATATGCCAAGCTTGAAGCCAAGGACATTAGCAGTAGTTATCCAACTGCCTCCCCAAACCTTCCCAGTGTCGTCTTTGTCCTTACCTCCTCTTCACTGTCAATGTCCTTGGCTTTCTCTACTCCTCAAAATATATGTTTCAGTTCTGAAACTGCCCAAAACTGGCTCTTCCACACAAGTTGATTTGTACATGGAACATTTTGTGCTTCTCTAGTGCTAGCTTGGTTTACATATTAGACTAAGCCAGCATTTTAAGCTATGATTTGCTTAATCATGTATGCACAAGTATGTCCATAGTGCTAGGCTAAAAGTCAGCAGATCACATTATAATTTGGTGTTGAATCTGAACCAGGCCAGAGATTAATATGAAGCCAATGGACTTAATAGACCACAACTGCTTTTGCGGAAACTGAACTTCTACCTCTGAGCAGCTCTTAAAATTTCCAGTTGCACAACTTATTATACACATTTTTCATTTAGGTGTTTAATGGGAGCTTTCCCTGGGCTGGAATGTCCAGATGGGTCAGATGACAATTTCTTGTATCCCCAGGCTACATGGAAACATGCCCAGAGAGGATCATCACTGGGCTTGTTCAGGAAAACTGACAATGGCAAGCAATGGAAGAGTAAAGTCTACAATTTGCTACCAACAACCAGACTTCAATCAACAAAAAAAGGAGACAGGGACAGAGGAAACTGCTCCTGGATCTTCCATTTCTATCTTGCCTATTTTGTCATCCTAGTCAGCATGATATACAGAAATTAAGAGGATAGTACAGAAGAGCAGGCTGCTTGACACAATCGCAGGTACATGTGCTATCTTCCTCCCATTGGAGCCTTTTCCCTAGCAGCAGCAAGGCCAGTGTTGTCCAAACTTGGCCATTTTAAGATGAGTGGACTTCACCTCCCAGAATTCCCCAGCCAGCCATGGGGAGTTGAAGTCCACTCATCTTAAAGTGGCCAAGTTTGGACAACACTGAGCAAGGCAGAGTTGCTTAAAAAAGCTGCAACCCTGAAACAGGTGGGAGGAGGATGGAGGAGGTGTGTGTTTTGGAAGCTCTGCAGCCAGCAGCAGACACAGAAAAGCATGAATACAAGAAGGCATTTTTCCTTCACAGAGACTGGATGGTCCAGAGGAAGAGAAGTATAGAGGCAGAGCAAGACAAAGTGTAAGTATAAAAGCACAATGTGGAAAGTTGCAAGTATTCTATGTGGTGGCCAGTACTGTAATGGAGAAGAAAAGTGCAGAAGAAATTCCAGAGAGAGGAATTAAGGCAGAACAGTGTTTGAAAGAAGAAAACATTGTTACAGAATGGTTTTACAATAGAGTACAGCACAGAGGAACTACTGTAATAGTAATAGAGTATAGTAATTATTGTAGTAATTAGCATATAGGATATATATAGGATAGGGGCAATAGAAAAGACTCACATATAGACTTGTAAGTTTCATATTTTACTTTTGTATCTCACTTTTTTCAAAATAAAATACCTCTCCAACCCTGATAGGGAGATATAAAAAACACCTGCCCAGAGTCCAGTGCTTTTGTGGCTCTTCCGAGTCTGTGTCAATCTAATTGGGCATAGTTTAAAAAAGAACCTGTGATGGATAGGGCAAAAAAAATTGCTGTGTTCACAACACAGTTGCAGATGTATGAACACAGCCATTTTTGCCCTATTCTCCTAATTCCTGTATATCATGCTGAACAGAACAACATCATGGTTTACCTACTTCTATTTTTTGTGTTTGTGCAACACTGAACCAAAAACTAAACATGCAGATTCAGTTTACGCAACATTGTAGGCTAAAATGTGATTGCTGCTTGGTGTGCCCTGTAAATATAATTACTGCTTAACTAAATAGGCCTGTGGTTCTAAGTAAATCCTTTTCTTGTCATTTGTCACTTACCCACTTCTTCATATCTTTGATTTCCGACATGACATAACCCACATTTTCACTTGACTTCTCCCATGCAATGTAACTGCTGCCAATGTTGGCCAAATTTTCTAGCTCAGCTGGAAATGATGTATCTGCAAGAGATGGGGGGGAGGGGGTAGAGAGGAATAAAGGAGGTATTATTGCTGCCAAGAGGCCCACCTTATTAGGAGTCAAGCTGGATATGAGGGACTTTTTTTATGCAAGATCAAGGCCTTCTCATGTAGAGTCAAAAGATAATTTTTAAAAATATCAGCAAACAAATACTTTTAACAGGCAGAGGTGCTACAATTGCTGTGGAAACATCCACCCACCCCTTTGATGAAATTGGAGACACATCTTGGTTGGCATTTATGTCATCTTCAATAAGCCTCATCTTTGCAAAACTCCAATGGAAATCTGTAATTTTTTAAAAATCAGAACTGTTCATTATTTGGATGCGGAGAAGGTGAAGAATCTACTGTACATCTGGGTGTGGCTGCATCAGTATATGTGTGTTGTTTTTAAAAAGATAGATTGCTAATCAAATTAATAATCCAGTATTCAGTTTCTGAATATTTACATCTGCCAGACCAACACTGAACATGTTTTACATAACACAAGTAAGTTAAAAGCATAACATGCTAACCTTGGTTAGTTTTAATCTTGATTCAATTCTTTGTAGCTTAGTGCATTCTGCAAAACCAAGTCATTTGGTAAATTCATTATTCAATGTATTGTGTGAATCTAGAAACTGGTTAATTAGGTAACCAGATTAAACATGTTTAAAAAAACTTAGCTGTTTTTATTGTTCTTAAATTCTGGTTTCCATCCTCAAAGCAGTTTTAGTGAGGCACTGCAAATATGCTTTGTGTGTGGATCTTCAGACTGAGGGTTCTCTTAGCCACTGAGAATGCAAAAACAATACTAAACTTTAGCTGGTTACTCTGTAGTCTTCTTTGATAGGGAAGAGATGAAGCACTGATGCACAGAGGCAGCTATAGTTTCTGCAGTAGTGCTGAATTCACCTTCTTAGATCATTTGGGTAGAATGTTCTGGAGGAGCTCTGAGAGCCATACAAAACATGGGAAGAAGCATGCAGTCCTGGGTGCTCATGGGAGAGAGTCCCTGCCAAGGACATACCTTTAATTTTTACATATAGTTCGTAGTCCTCCTTTCTGCGTTGGTCTGCATCTTTGTTGTCTGTGCAACTGACTTGAATCATTGGCTTAGGCTTGTCCTTCCGGTAGAATACAGTCGCAAGGCATCTCCCTAGATTTTGCTTTAAAAGAAAAGAAAATAACATATGGGGATATTTTCTTCCAAACTTCCTTGCTACCTTGTCATTATCTAGATCCAACAGCAGATTGTGAAAAAATTGTTTACAGAACAGACAATGCCACTTCTACGGTGAAGAACCACTTGGGGGCAATGTGATTGTGATTTTGAAAAAAAGATCAATATTTATATTATCACTATTCTGACCCAGGAGCCCTTTTCACTGCTATTTTTTAAAACACACCAGAAATCAAGTACAGTGAGGAAATGATCCCATGTTCTTATTCAGGTTTGCAAAACAGCCATTGATCTACTGAATTACCAGGTTCCAGATCACTTTTAAGAGCACCATTGATTTTCCCACCTGGGATAAATGTTTCTCTGCTGTAGGTATAGAAGCTCCTGCCAGGGGCTGCACTTTATCTCTTCCAAGAAAATGTCAAAGATAGGGGAAAATTCAAACACAATGTAGTGGGAAATAATGTAACTTTGTCAGAGATAGACATGGAAAGGAAGGTAAGCTTTCATGGGGTTAAAACTTACAACTTCTCCACCTGCCATCTGATATTTCAGGGCAGCAAATACTGCTAGAACAGTCTCACCACAGCCATCTACTGGAGGCATTTAATTAGGTACAAATCACTGCAGCTTGGACTGGCATGGACTGCACTCCTCTGACCAGTAGTGGCACAGAATGTGGGTAGACATGTCGTCTGCCCCTCGGGTTGGGAGTGGGGGGCAATGTTAAACTGGTTCTCCTTCTTCCTCCAGGGTCTTTATCTAGCCCACAGCCCCCACTTTGCTGGGTGCCTCGGGGCCCAGTGGGCTGAGGCCATCCGCTGGCATGGGGTGATGTATCGGTATGCTAATGATATCCAGCTTCACATCTCTTGCCCTGGCTGACCAAATTCAGTGGAGGTTCTGCCTTAGTGTCTGGAAGCTTTGGGAGTCTGGATGGGGAGGGACAGACTTCAACTCAATCTTAGCAAGACTGAGTGGCTCTGGGTGTTAAGGTCACCTCTATCATTCTTGGTGTTCTCCAAGACTAGTGGCTCCTATTTAAGGCATAGCTGACAACCATGGCCAGGAAGGCTTTTGCACAACTTCATCTTATGTATTCTTTCCTGGGGCCAGAGTCTCTGCTCACAATCACTCATGCCTCAGTCACCTCTCAAATGGATTGCTGCAATGCACTCTACATCAGGTTGCCCTTGAAGAACACCTGGAAGCTTCAGTTGGTGCAGAATGCTGTGGTGCAGACAGCTGTGAATGTCTTGGTGTGCGCATGTTATACCTCTGCTCCATGAGCTACATTGCTTGCCAGTGTGCTTCTGGTTACATATGTGCTGGTTGTCATGTATAAAGCCTTTCATGGTATAGGGTGAGGTTATTTGTGGGACCACCTCTCCCCGCTTGTTTCTACTCATTCCATTAGATCCATCAGAAGAGGCATGCGGTGGGTCCTGTCGTTAAAGAATGTCATCTTGTGGGATCCTGCCCTACGGAACACCGCTCCCCTGGAGATTAGATGCCAGCTTTTCAGAAGGCCCTTAAGACATGGTTATATTCCCAAGCATGGGGGTTGGAGTGGGGGTGAGAAACTGTTGTGCTCCATTGTTTAGACTGGTTTGGTCTCTTAGCAGCTGCATATGCTGTTGTGTTTTATACCATGTTTTGCATTGTTTTTACACACTGTAAGCTGCCCAGAGTTGCTATATGAGATGTGTGGCTATATAAATCAAATGAATGAATGAATGAATGAATGAATGAATGAATGAATGAACGAACTTTCTTCAGCTATAGAATAAGGAGCCCGCTGCATCTAAGCACTGTACAGAATTTGTTAGATAAGATGCTGAAGAAGGAAGATACGATAGAAGGCTTCTACTGTATTGATGCCAGAAAAAAATTCTGTTACAGAAATATCCAAGTAGAAGATTCAACTTACCCTAGTTTGAATGTGTTTTGTAGAAAATTGCAGGGAGTACTTACGCCCAACTCCTGGGATACTCTGCAAGACAAATAAGCTAAAGTTACACTTCACAATATGTATGACACACACAGCACAAACACTTCTTAAAGCAGCAGATCATTAAAATACCATATAGCGTTTATACAGTATTTTACTGTTGGGCTGCTGCTTTTCTATCATTTCAGTAATCTTAGCAAAAATGTATGCAGTTAGGACGTAATGAGTCTTTTCTGCTTCATACCTATCATTCTAAAAAAAAGATATTTCAATATTCTCAAACATCTCATGCATTAACTTTATAATTAAGTTTGAATTATGAATATTTAACATAAGCATTTACTTTTTATGTAATGAAGACCCATACTGTACTTGTTCCCTACCAGTCTTTCCTTCTGAAAATCCCTCTGTATTCAAGGAAGTAATCTCGTTTTTATTGTTAAATCTCTATCCTTAATTTCATAACTGCTCTTCTGTAATGCAAAATGTGTGGGATTGCATTTAAATTATGCTTCTGTGTAGATAAACCTTTCTATTTTGTTACAGTGAAAATATATATAGGCATGAAAGCCAGCTGGGTAATTTTGGGCCAGTCACTCTCTCTCAGCCCAACCCACCTCACAGGGTGGTTGTTGTGGGAAAATAGGAGGCAGGAGAATTAGGTATGTTTGCTGCCTTGAGTGATATATAAAAACAAGGTAGGATAAAATCTAATAATAATAATAATAGTAGTAGTAGTAGTAGTCGTCGTCTTAAGAAGTAAAGAAACTTCTTATCATCCAATACTGGACCAAATTTTGATGCAATGTTAAATTCTACTTTAACACCATGCACTCCTTTCTCTGTCTCTGTGTAGCTATGAAGAAGCGATTTAGCATTTATTTATGAAAACAACTGGGTAGAATTTTGGTTAGGTTGAATTACGATTTTAAAAAGTAAGTCATTTTGTTTCAACCCATAGTTGAAATGGCTTGTTCAAAACCCCAACATTTCCCCATCCAAGCATTTCCAGATGCTGCTAGATTACAGCCCTTGTCATTTCAATCCTTATCCATGCTACTTTGAGGTTGTAAGTATTTGGAGATCTTAGACAGGAGTTTTTTTGTGGTTCATACATAAAACAAACTGTAGTTAATAAAGAACAAAGCAAAAATAGCTGAAGTCACAGCTGCATTAGAAGAGGGGGAACCATGTAATGCTTAGGGTTGGTTTAGCATTACAATATAGTCAAATCAGCCAAGACCTGTTAAATTTTTACAAGATTTAGTGGCAGGGGATCAGCTATCTCCAATTGTTTATTTTACTAATTATCCATAATGAGGAAGGCATCTGTATACACAGATTGTGGTCTCCCAAAATCAGCAGATCAGAATATAATGTTAAGCAAACTTAAGGTTGTATTTTGATATAGTATTGGATAACAGCCAGCATGGAATACTTTAGATGCTAGATGTGAGATTTATTGGAAATCTTAGGAAACAGTTGCAATCCTGGGCAGGTTCCTATTCTTGGTGGCCAAGGCAAAAACCAAGAGGTCTTAACATCTCATAATTATTCTATCAAAACCATTAGGGAATCACTAGTTCAACAAGCAACCTACCGCCACAGAAAGACAGTAATGGATTTTATTAATGCAAAATTGGCTGGCTATCTGAAGAACGGAAATACAAATAACTCACTGACTTTTATATTAAAAACCATGCAACATCTTGGAAACATATTTGGAAGAGACTACAGTATTCAGGCCACTGAGTCTAGCTCCTTTGCTCAGTGCAGGAAGCCAGATTAATCCCAGAGGGATGGCTGTCTAGCACTCAAATTGCTCTGTCAGAAAGTTTGTTTTAAGATCACATCAGACTCTGTTCTCCTGTAACTTAAAACCACTATTCTATGGCATGTCCTGCGCTCTGGAATTAGAGAACCAATCCTGACCATCTATGGGGCATCCTTTCAGGTATTTGAAGAGTGTAACCCTATCTCCCTCCTGCTGGGTTGCAGCAAGTGGCTACCTGAAAGCAGGCTTTTCAGTGGGAGCCCCCAACTCTGGCAAGTCATCTCTAGCAAAGTATTCCTGGTACCATCCTTACTGTGTTTTCTGGAGCCAGGCAAAGACATGTTTATTCTCTCAGGGCTTTTAATCATGTTAATCCGGTTGTGATTTTAAACATTTTTATTGCTGCTTTTACTTTCTGTTATTGTTCAGTGTCTATCTTGCTAATTTTATTTGGGTGTTGCATTTGATTCTTTTTTAAAAATGTTTTAATGTATGTTAACTGTTTTAACCTATGGTTTTTAAATCATAAATGTAATTTTCAGTTGTAAACAGTTTCTTTTAATGGGAAAGTGTATAGAAATAAATAACCCTCCCTCAACTGTCTTTTCTCAAGGCTAAACCATTTCTTCTATCTCTGTTCATTTATTTTCTTGTCCCCTGATCATCTTCAGTACTCTTTTCCTAATCTGATCCAAACTTCTCTGAATCCTTCCCAAGGGGCAGCACCAGATCTGGACACAGTGTTTCAGATATCATTCTGACCAAAGCAGAATGATTTCTTCTCATTATTAAACTTCAGATGATTCAGCCTAAAATTGCAAATACTGAAGAATGGACTCAAGACTATCACCTCATTCATTGAAGTGACAATGGTATTCAGTGGCCATGTTGCTCCCAAGGTCAAGCATCAATCCTGCTCTTTCATACAGCTATTCATAATTGTAGGCTCCCCATCCCTGCTTTTACGTGACACTCCTGTTGGGTACTCCAAAACAGTAGCCACAATTACAAGAATTGCCCTTGAAAATTAAAAACAAAGACATTCTCAAGTCAAGTTTGCCTCCTGGGGACCACATCCATGACTTTTTTTGATGGCGTTACTGAAAGCTTTCTTCCAGGATATTTTTTTCAACTTCTCAATCTAGTCTAAACCCTGGAATTTCTATATAGTTCCCCATCCAAGTGTAACCATCTACAGTATGACTTGCTTAGCTTCAGGGAACTGCCAAAGAAACTAAGAGTGGCAGTTCAGTGGGTTTGGCTTATGCAATCGGATTTCCTCACAATGGAAACAATCAAGGGAAACCCTGCCTAGATCCAGCCCAAGAAGCAGCAGGATTAGTCTGTTGCAGCAAAAACAATCCAAGGCTTTTAATATGGCATGAGGTTTTTGATGTGAATGAATGCACCAAAATAAATCCTAGTAGTAACCAAAAAACAACTTTTTTAAACACATGAAATGAGTTGAATAGTATTGTGAAAATTATTTTGGAGAGGCCAAAATCCTTTTCTGGTTAACAAGAAAACAACCATAAGCAAACACACATCCACCAGGTTTTTCTATGCCAAGCAGATATAAAAGTTATAGAACCTTTGTAGTTCCCAACGATTTATACAGAACTGGCATCAAAGAAGCAGCTGAGACTCAACAGGCACTTTGAACACATGAAATTGTAGTGCATTCCCCTTTTGTTTTTTGTTTTAAATCAAGGAATGGCATTTTCCTTAAAAGAATAACTTCAGTGCACATTGCATTCAAAAGCACACTTTTGATGAAATGGAAATGTTAACAAATATTCTCCTTCAGTTGTGGCCAGCCAGCTGGTTTGTTTTATAAAACATTTCAGAGATTCAGAGGTAAAAAGAAAATATTTCAAGGTCTTTGCTGTCTGCTTAAAAATGTTTCTTCACATAGAGGATATAACATTGTGCAGGTTAGTACAAAATACTGTAAGAATAAATACACAAGCAGAGATTAGAACCTGAAGGAGATTTTAGAGGCAGTGTCTCTTAACCACCTGGATGAGGTTTGTAACAGAGACTTTGATATTTACACAAAGCTGGATATGAAGTGTGAGGAGATATGACTATAAAATTCACATTATTTTTCCAGTTATGATCATGTTGCATTAATCCATAATGAAGTTTGCTTGGTTTGGGTTTGGTATATTTTGAACCCAAGCAATAAGTTTAAACCATAATTAAATAAGCCATAGCTTAGCACTATGTTTTAACCTACCATTCTCCCTCCCATTTTCAAATTACAACATTTCTGGGATATTTAAGAAATACTAGGGACAATCTGCTTCATGTTGACATCACAATATTACTTAACTGTGGTCTCCTGAATAAATCACACTGTATAAATGACAGTTTCATGTGTGAGACCGATGTCTCTTACTGGTAGGGATATATGTTTATGGAATCCTGTGAAGGAAGAGGGCTGTTTTATTCTGCTTCTAGAGAAAAACATTTTTCCCCTGGACAGAATGGAGATAGAATAACCCCCTGTATTAATTACATTCCCACAAACCAAGTTTAATGCTTAAAGTTTAGTGATATCCCCTCTGTTCCAACTATTGTTTAATCAGCATGAGGAAGAAAAAAAATATATGACTTACTGGCCGGAAGGCTAGTCACACTATTCAGTTCTCTCTAATCTTGTGCCTTTTAGATGTGTTAAACCAATGTTTCTCAACCTCAGCAATTTTAAGACGCGTGGACTTTAATTCTCAGAATTCCCCAGTCAGCATTTCTGTTAGACTATGGTAGACTAACTGTGGTAGTTAGACTACAACTCCTCTTGGCCAGGGTAGCTGGGAATTCTGGAGTTCAAAAGGTTGGGAAGAGTTCAAATAGTGTGACCAACCAGGTTTGAAGATTTACGAACTAGGTGGTCTAGCTTAATAAGCTGTGGGAATTGGTCCTAAAGTGGCTCTTTTAGAGCTTGTAGCGATTCACCTAAAACTCTATGGTAAATCCACCCATTTAAGATTAAAATCATGGCCACAACAATCCCATAGAGGCCAGCAGCATTGCCAATCCTTAGGAAGAGTAGAGGTCTCAGGGATAGGAGACCTCTACTCTTGCCAATCTCTTAGGAAGAGTAGAAGCTCACACAGGAAGGAAAGGCCATCAGACTGTGCTTACTACTTCTGGACCACCTGAGCTCATGGTAGCTTATCCCACTGGGGAGCAGTAAAGGCTGCTGGCTGGTTTTGATAGTCTTAAGATTTTATCTGATTCTCCAGACAGTTTGGTGGGAAGGCAGTAAGAAATAACCACCTCACCTGCCTTTTTACCCCTAATCTGCTGAAAGCAAGGCAGGACTAAGATTTGAAGGTTAGATACCTTCTAGATTTTTCTTTTCCAGTTAAATGGGGGAAGGGGTTTTTGTAAGAGTATCAACATAATTATTCAATTCATTTATTTATTTAAATTTATTGGCCACCCAACTCCAGTGGACTCTAGGTGGGATACAAAACTAGGGAAAACATTGAAAAAATGTAGTTTCTGATATCACTTTACCCGTTGATGGTAATTTATGCAGTAAATTACTGCAATCACTGCTATTTTGTGTTAAATTGGTATGTTTATTCCATTTTGATAGCTTTGTTTGCAATGTTAGTCACTTTTACGGTTTTCCTTAAAAGCCCAAAATGGGGCTCAGATTCTAATTAATGCATGACTTTCAACAGATGACAAAGTCTCGAAGTCTCAAAAAGTACTCTTTCTGTCTTAGCCACATTCATTTCCAAGCATTATTGTTTGCCAAAGGGAGTTTCATGAAAGGACATCACAATGTTTTTTCATATAAGAGCTCAGTTATTTGAATTAAGCAGATGTGCTACTTTTTCCCCATCACCCATGACCACTTCCCACTTTCAGGACTTTGTTGCTTAAGATTTGCAAATGAAAAGCCAGACAAAGGCATTCAAGTACCTCACTGCTGAGCGGGTACAATCCTTATCAAGGGCACTCTGCATTCTCTCACTAGGGGATTCACCAAGGCACTCACCCCATGGATGTCTTATATACTAAGGGAAAATGGAGTGGAAGAAGATGAACGTGGTTTTAAAACTGGAGGAAGAAACAACAATAACCTGTGGTATTCTGAATATACTACCTGGATAGCCAAAAATGCAAAGGGTCTGCAAGCTCTGGTAATAAAAGTCAAGGAGCACAGTGAAAAAGTAGGACTAAAATTGAATATAAAGAAGACCAAACTAATGACAACAGATAGAGCCCCCAGCCTTAGAATTGGCAATGAAGATATCGAAGTGGTGGAGAGCTTCTGCCCTTTAGGATCAACCATCAACAGTAAAGGAACAAACAGTCAAGAAATACACCATAGACTAGCACTTGGTAGAGCAGCCATGAAGGCTTTGGAAAAGATATTCAGATGCCATGATGTGCCTATACTTTACCTACAAAGATCAGAGTCATGCAAGCAATGGTATTTCCAGTGACACTCTATGGAAGGCAAAGTTGGACTTTGAAGAAGCAGGATAAGAAGAATATTGATCCTTTTGAAATTTGGTGCTGGAGAAGATTCCTGAGAATACTGTGGACAACTAAAAAAACAAATGGATCATTGAGCAAATCAACCCAGAGTTGTCACTAAAGGTATCAATGATCAGGCTCAAATTATCCTACTTTGGACATATTATGTGAAGATCTAGTTCTCTAGAAAAGGCTCTAGTGCTGGGAAGGGTGAAAGGAAAGAGAAGAGGACAACCAGCAGCAAGGTGGATGGACTCAATTATAGTGGCAATGAGTGCACTGTTGGAAGACCTGAAAGACCAAGTTAGGAACAGATCATCACAGAGAAAATCTATCAATGTGGTCACTGGGAATCAACACCAACTTGACACAATCATAGCCTCTAACTCTTCTTTAACAAGCTCCCTCAAGGAGTCGAAAGAGTGAAATCATTCTTCCTTTGAAGTGGCTTGGTGTTGGTGGGGCTATCAGTTTGCTGGGACTGGTTCAGCCTCAGCCATACCTTTCCAAGGTGATGTGCCCCCCCCCACCCCGTGTGTGTGTGTGTGACTTCAACTCCCATAATTCCTCAGGGGATCAGATTGTCAGACTAGCCTTTCCCAAAGAGAAGTTTGCCCCAAGCTGGTCAGATGCGTTTCTCTTTCTCATGCCGGCAAACTTTACACAGGGTTTAAAAAAAGTGTTCATAATGATGACAGTCTAACTAGTTTGTACGCTGCCTCATATACAGAGCTGAGCAAAGTTGCCAACTTTGTTTTCCTTGCAACTTTCTCGAAGTCGGTCTTTAAGAGATATCAGAAGAGGCTTTCCGCAACCCCCTCTTGCGATTTGGGGGGAGGGGGCGGCGGAGGAAACCAACAGGCGTTGCAAGGAAAGAAGCTGGATACAGCCGGTGGGAAGCAAGCGCAGAGACTTCCCCGCAAACCTTAGATCCACGGCGGGGGCTCGGAATCTTTCCTTACCTTGGCCGAGACCTTCCGGACGTGCACAAGGGTCCGGAGAAAGCTGGGCGAGCCCTGATTGTAGTTGAGATACTGGACGACTGTCCGGGCGACCCGCGCGGCTTGCGAGTCAGAGACAACGCTCTGCCCCCGGGAAGGAGGCAGCAACTGCTCGTGCCAGGCGAATTTCGGCTGGAGCAGGTCGCGGCCGTAGCTCTCTCGAGCCCAGCAGAGCGCGGGCAGCAGGAGAAGGACCACGGCCATCCGAGG